TTGCAGTCTTTGATTTTCTATATCTAAACCCTGGTAGCTAACTTCCAAGCGTTCTGTTTTCTTGAAAGATGCTTTCAGGAGCTCCAAACCTTTTTTAAGTTGCTCTTTTTCACTTTCCAGTTCTTTGTTTTCTAGCTGTAGCTGAGCCATTTTCATGCTTGCACACTTCAAAGATTCTACATTCCTTCGCAGCTCTAAGTTTTCCTCATCAAGTTGGGAATTCTCTTTCTCTAGGGATTCTAACTGAAAGGTCAGATTTTTAAAGCTATCCAATGTTTTTTTTAATTTTCTATTTTCTCTTTCTAGCTCTGAATTTTCTTGTTCTAACGCCTCAATTTTTTCACAAGTAATTTTTAAATTAGTTATTTTTTTCTGTAACAATTCATTTTCTTTTTCAAGATGATGCAATTCATTTTCAAGTTCTTCTGCTCGTTCTCCTTTTTCTTTATAATGTTCCAGTTCTTTTTTAATTTGTCTTTTTTCAAATTCAATCTTGCTTAGCTTGCTACTTGTTTCTTTGATAGATTCATGGAGAATTTTGTTTTCTTTTTCAATGTCTTTCACTCTTGCTTCTGCACTTATCTGGGACCGCTGCCTTAAAGAAGACACTGTTTGATTCAGATGTTCATTTTCCTGTTCCAATATCTTAATCTAATTTGAAAAAGAAAATAATCAAAAGCTGTAATCGAGGAAAAACTAACTATGGTTTATCTCTTCCAAAAACTACCAAGAAAAGGGGAACAAAAAAAAAAAGGGTACTAGAATGCCTGTCTTACTTTTAATTCTGACAAGTATTTACTGAAGACCACTGTGTACACACGCTGTCAGGTCATTAAAGTTCATGTCTTTAGGAAGTTCACAGTTTAAAGGAACAACTGAGAAATGTATTTTCTATTAATCATAATGGTCTTCAGATTATTTATAGTTACATGCTTCAAATACAAATAGGAATACCGGTGTCACACACACACATACCTCCTTGAGAACATAAGGTTTTACTTTTACTGAGTAACTTTTGCAATGCCTACAGTGGGTCCTCAGTAAATACGTGCTGTATTGTATGTGTATATATCGGTTTGTATGTGTGTGTATTCATTCCCAAAAAGAATTCTAAGTAGGAAGCATCAAAATCACAAAAATTACTGGGTACATTTGAGAACTAATTCATCCAATTTATACCATGACCTAATACAATGATTCTCAAAATTTAGTGTGTTAAATAATCTCAAGAAGCTTGGAAAAGTGAAGATTGAAGCTTAGTCTAGAATTTCTGTTCTGTATCTCTAAAGAAACCTTCATTTTTATGGCTGGTCTGAGGACTATACCTGGATGATATAAACAAATAATCTTACTTCTAAAAAAAATTAATGCTCAGGCATGGTGGCTGACACCTATAATCCTAGCACTTCGGGAGGCTGAGGCCGGAATATCTCTTGAGCTCAGGGGTTTGAGACCAGCCTGGGGAGCATAGCGATACTTTGTCTCTACCAAAAAATAAAAATTAAAAAATTAAAAAATTATCTGGGCATGGTGGTGCATGCCTAGTAGTCCCAGCTGAGGTGAAAGGATTGCTTGAGCCTAGGTGTTCGAGGTTGCAGTGAGCTATGATTGTGCCACTGCACTCCAGCATGAGTGACAGAGCTGGACCCTGTCTCAAATACATAAATATTTCAAAAACAAATCAATTAATCTATCCAGTTCTCAGTTTCCTCAAACATAAAATAAGAATGAACATTAAACACTTGAAAACAAATTTCATAATATCCAAGACAGTGTGGTTGCCACCGCATTTCTCCCTCTTCGGTAGGTCAGAGGACAGCTGCATTTCCTGGCCAACTCCACTCAGGGACTCTAGAATCTGCAGCCCTATTCCATAGACACTTGAAAGCACAAGAACTGCAAATGCTTATACTAGATGATTATCAAGCACACTAGCAGTTTAAAAAACTCTAAGCTTTCTCTTCAACTTTCCTAAGATACATAGGTTAGAAAATGAGGTAAAATTATAATTACTTTGAAATAAAAAAATTCTAAAATATTTCCCTTTAATGTTTATATCAACGTTTTGTTTGCATATATTTTAAATAACTTTTGCTAATAAATTTTAAAATACATTGTTTACTTAGTAAAAAAATGTACGAACCTGTCTCTCTGAATTTTCTCTCAGTGTTTCAATTGTTTTTTCAAGCTGAGCTTTCTCCTTCATTAGATCCTTGCTTAAATTCTGACAATTCTGAAGACTTTGCTTTTCTTGAACAATCTCATTTTCAAGAATTTCAACCTAGAGAAAATTAAATCACAAAACAATATGTTAAATATTCTACAATAGTGAAAACATGTCAAAACAAAAGATAATCACTGAATAAAGGATAAAATAGTGTTAATATCCAAATGCTAAAATTTAAGAACTCAGTATAGAAATTCAAGCAGCATTCCATGCTAATTTCTGTAGCTGTATAAAATCTGCAGACATGATTTCTTATCCTATGCATCTTTTGGGGTAAGTTTCATTTTCTAAACACAAAGACAAATCCAGCTGAATAAATGATAATGTGCTATATGAGAACTATACAAACTTTTTAAAAAGATTCTCTTGGCTTCAGTGGATTTGTAAAGTAAAATTTTACTTATACTCAGAGAATTTCAGTGAGCAAGAAGGGAGAAGATATAAAAAGCATGAAGGAAAAGATGAGAAATAGTACAGTATAAGTTCAATGAGGAAAAAAGAAAGGACTTGGTTTAAAATAAAAAAGAGGGAGAAAAAGAATACTACTATAAAAAAGGACTAAGGAAAACAGCAGCAAATATTTATATTTCAGGTTCAAATTTCTTTTCAATTACACATTTTAGAGATAAAAAATACTGGTAGTTAATATGTACAAAATAGCAAATTAAAGTTAAAAATATGCTAAGACTATTGATTTTTCCATTATCATATATTCAAACTAGGCAATTAAAAAAATCGAGAAGACTTTATAAAATATTCTACTGCAAGTTAAATGTTAAATTCTTATGTCAATAGTGAAGCACTCTAAAGCAATTTTAATTTTTCTATTTTAACATTAATGGAAATAGCTACACATGGAAACAATCTTCCAATAATATTTCTAGCCTGGGCAACATGGTGAAACCATGTCTCTACCAAAAACAAACAAACAAAAAAACCACAAAAAACAAAAAACTGAGCCAGGCATAGTGGCCTGTGCCTGTAGTCCTAGCTACTTGAGAGGCTGAGGTGGGAGGACTGCTTAAGCCTGAGAAGCGGAGGTTGCAGCAAGCTAGGATTGCGCCACTGCACTCCAGCCTGGGTGGCATAGTGAGACCCTAGCTCAAAATACTACTACTGCCAATAATAATGATAATAATAATAATATGAAAAGCACCAGGTCAAAAAACTTATCCAATAACTCAATTCAACATTAATTTACAGTTCAGGAAGCTTTCAGTTATGAATAATTAATCTGGTTCTCATATTACATATACGGAAATATATGAATGACAGTTATTGAAACTCATTTGTTGTTTTGTATCAATGGGATTAAAGTGAAACATTCAGTTTATAAAAAATCATTTTTACAATTAATTGATCAAAAATTGCTTGAATCACTAAGAATTTACAAATCAAACTTCAAAGCTAATTTCAAAAAGAAACCGTACTCTACAGGCCCAATTTTAACGACAACCAAAATAAAACTGTTCTAAATTCTAAATGGCCATCCTACTTTAACACTATATTGTCAAACACTTACTAAGATTATTTAGTTAATGGATTAAAGACAATGCAAAAACATTTTAAAACAGTAAAAATCTTACAAGAATACCAAGGAGCCTCTGAATAATCTAAGGCAGTGGTTCTCAAAGCATGATTCCAGGACAGCATGATGAGCATCACTTAGGAACTTCTTAGAAACAATTCTTAGTCATGCATGTTTTTATGATGGGATTCTATTTATGTAGAATTATGTGCACAGAAAGATATGCAAAAACAAAACACTTGTTCTTCCACAGCTAAGTATTTCTGTTCAACCAGAGTCTGATTAAGATTCAAGTTTCATAATACCTAAATTGTGGTCTCTAAATATTATTTCCCACTAAAAGGAATAAAGGCTAATTTTAGAGAAATGGCTGTCTCCAGATCTGGGACAGAAAATATTCAAGATGAGCCTAGAATATTTTGTCATGGCAGAAAGTAAGACAGCTCTCAAGGAGTGCTAAGGCCATGTAATAAGGATTCAGAACCAAAGCAGCTTTTAAAGAGGCTTCCACTAGCCCGAGTTGAGACAGTAAGAAAAACAAATGGAGTGGATTGAAACAATACAAATATTTTTAAATTCATGGGTTCATAATGATACTGAAACAACAAACTCACTCACTGTTCTCTCAAGAAGACATGAGAGAACCAATTCATTATTTGGAAACTGGCAAATATAACTCCTCTAGCCCTGCTGCCTTTTTTTTTTTTTTTTTTTTTTTTGAGACCGAGTCTTGCTCTATGGCCCAGACTGGAGAGCAGTGGCGCATCTCGACTCACTTCAACCTCCACCTCCCAGGTTCAAGAGATTCTCCTGCCTCATCTTCCTGAGTAGCTGGGATCACCAGCACCCACCACCACATCCGGCTAATTTTTGTACTTTTAGTGGAGACAGGGTTTCACCATGTTGGCTAGGCTGGTCTCAAACTCCCGACCTCAGGTGATCCGTCCGCCTTGGCCTCCCAAAGTGCTGGGATTACAGGTGTGAGCCACCACACCTGGCCAAGATCAGCTAGTAAGTTCTTAATTGTTGAAGCTGAATAATGAGTATAGGATTCATTTACACCATATTTGTGTATATTTGAAAAATTTCATAACAAGTTAAAATAACAGTGAGGGTGCATTTAAAAAGTGGAAAATAAATGTGCCATTTATTTACACTTTTACAAGTATTTTTTAACATTAAAATAAACATTACATTTTAATTTACCTTTTTACTGAGTCTTTGATTTTCTTTTTCAATTTTCAGGATTTTGGAAGCATTGCCCTCTACAGAATCCACAGTAGTCCGAAGCTCTTCTACAGTTTTTGTCAAACTTTGATTTTCCATCTCTAACTTCAATAATCTACTTGATGTCAACTCATTCACCTCATGGCCCAGGGATTTCTGTGGTGCTATAATATTGAAAAATACACCATTGTATTTACTCTTTACCATTTTTACTATGTTTACTCTTTACTATTTAAAAAGTTCAGTATATATGCATTGCATCATTTGATCCTTAACTTTATTAAAAATTCAATGAGGTTATATAAGATAAACATGATAAGAGAGGTAAATCTTTTTCTCCTTTTCTTTTTTTCTTTTTTTAAAGAGATGGGATCTCTCTCTGTCATCCAGGCTGGAGTGCAGTGATGCGTTCCTAGCTCACTGCAGCCTCAAACTCCTGGTCTGAAGGGATCCTCCCAGTTCAGTCTCCCAAGCGGCTGGGACTACAGGTACAGCCAGTTAATTTTTTTATTTTTTAGTAAAGACTGGGTCTCTTGTTACTTAGGCTGGTCTGGGACTCCTGAGCTCAAGCAATCCTCCTGCCTTAGCCTCCCAAAGTGCTGGGATTACAGGCATGAGCTGCTGCACCCAGCCAAGAGATGAATCTTTAACTTTTAATGCATCCACAGCATTCTAGTGAAAAAAAGCATAAAATTTAGATTGAAGAAACTGGCGTTCAAGCAGACCCATTAAATATTTTGCTGATACAAGAACATTAGGATTTACAAATGAAAGATGAGACCTACTATTTCAAGAAAGGAAATGAATAAAGGCACTGGAGGGAATTTCCAGTGTATGCTTTTGTGTATGTTTCAAATTCTTCTTCATAAAAACCAAAGAAACACATGCACATCCAACATATCCCCCACCATGTATAAAATCTCTTCAAAATTAGGTAAGTAAATAACCTCCATATTTAAGTAAGGAAAACCTCAATTTTTATTTCCAGCTTTTCTAGTCATCATGTTGTTAATCTTTTACTGAAAGCTGGTATACTGAATAGTTACTGACTTTTAACATTCCATTAGTTGCCCAAGTCTTTTTTTAAATTAAAAGATTATTTAAATTTAACTATAAACTTACAGGATACATTATTCTAAGTAGCAACTAATGAAGGATTAAACGAATTTTGAAAATACAATACTACTTATTTTGGCTAAAAGTTCAAAATGAATATTCTGAGCATGCTGAAATTATTTTAAAATCTTTAATCCACTTCCATTCATTATCCCTTTATAAATCTGATTCTGTCTTAAGATATCTATTAAAACACAGTATAGAGTTTAAATATATAATATTCCCCAAGAGTAGCATTACTGTTAATCTACCTGGATTAGGTGTTTTTAAATAGTCACCATGATAAACAATAGATCTCTTGAAATTATTCCCATCTAAGTGAAATCTTGTGTCCTTTGACTAACATCTTCCCTATACCCTCAACCCCTCAGCCTCTGCTAACAACCATTTTACTCTGTTTCTATGAGTTTGGATTTTTTTGATACCACATATAAATGAGATCATGCACTATTGTCTTTCTGTACCTAGCTTATGTCACTTAACATAATGCCCTTCAAGTTCATCCATATTGTTGCAAATGACAGATTTTTTTTTTTTTTTTTTTTTTTGAGACGGAGTCTCGCTCTGTCACCCAGGCTGGAGTGCAGTGGCGTGATAGTGGCTCACTGCAACCCCACCTCCCAAGTTGAAGAGATTCTCCTTCCTCAGCTTCCCGAGTAGCTGGGATTACAGGAACCTGCCAGAACGCTTGGCTAATTTTTGTATTTTTAATAGAGATGGGGTTTCACCACATTGGCCAGGCTGGTCTCAAACTCCGGTCTCAGGTGATCTACCATCTCAGCCTCCCAAAGTGCTGGGATTACAGGCGTGAGCCACCATGCCCGGCCAAACATTTTTTTTTTTGAGACAGAGTCTCACTGTGTCGCCAGGCTGGAATGCAGTGGCACAATCTTGGCTCACTGCAACCTCCGCCTCTTGGGTTCAAGTGATTTTCCTGCCTCCGCCTCCCAAGTAGCTGGGATTACAGGTGTGCGCCACCATACTCAGTTAATTTTTTTTTTTTTTTGATATTTTAAGTAGAGACAGGGTTTCACCGTGTTGGCCAGGATGGTCTTGATCTCTTGACCTCGGGAACTGCCTGCCTCGGCCTCCCAGAAGTGCCGGGATTACAGCCATGAGCCACCACACCCGGCACCCCCCCTTTTTTTCTTCCTGGGACAGAGTCTCACTGTGTCACCTAGGCTGGAGTGCAATAGGATGATCTCAGCTCACTGCAACCTCTGCCTCCCAGATTCAAGAGGTTCTCCTGCCTCAGCCTCCCAAGTAGCTGGGATTACAGGTGCACACCACCATGCCTGGCTAATTTTTGTATTTTTAGTAGAGACGGGGTTTCACCATATTGGTCAGGCTGGTCTTGAACTCCTGACCTCGTGATTCATCTACCTCAGCCTACCAAAGTGCTGGGATTACAGGTGTGAGACACTGCACCTGGCCAGAATTTCATTCTTTTTATGACTAATATTCCATTATGTATATAAAACACGTTTTCTTTATCCATCATTTCATTGACACAGATTGATTCCATATCTTGACATTTGTGAATAATGCTGCAACAAGCATGGGAATACAGATATCTCTTTGATATACTGATTTAATATCCTTTAGATATACACCCAGGAGCAAAACTGCTGAATGCTATGAGAGTTCTATTTTTAATTTTTTGAGGAACCTCCACACTGTTTTCCAGAATGGCCGAACCAGTTTACATTCCCACCTATTCCATAGAAACTTGAAAGCACAACTACTGCAAACTTTTATACTAGGTGATTATTAAACACACTGGCGTTTAAAAAACTTCTAAGATACTTTTAACTTTCCTAAGACACATGGGTTAGAAAATAAGATAGAAAAGTTCTGAAGCAAATTTTCTGAAATTCTGTAAATTTTCTAGAAAGTCCCTTGTATAATTTAAAAAATAAAAACTACACCATAGTAAAGCAAATATTCAGTTCTACAACCCCAGCTAAGATCAATTACAAAACAACAGTGACAGAATAATAATGATATTTAATACTTGAATGCTTACTATTTACCAGGCACTATTTAAGGGCCTCACAAATACCAACAATTTAATCCTCAGAAGTCTAGACTAACAGAGTAGTAATTCTTAATTAACAGAGTAATTCTAACTACCTTTAGTAGAAAATATTTAAGTCTGAATTGCTTTCTTTGTAACTCAATTCACAAGGAATATAATTTTTAAAGTTTCACAAATATTTTAAGTAACATAGGTTCAATGATTGAATATCATCACTTACTCTATAGTCGGTACATGGGGCCCCAGAATTTGGTATTCGATTCTCAAGTGTAAAATAGGAAGAACCTAATTGGTAATCAATAGGTGGAATCATCTATAGAGGTAATTATTCTGTAAGCACCACATTATAAAATCTCAAGAGTTTATGTCTACCTCAACAGTACATCCTCGGTGTCTGGCATAGTATTTTACACACGATAGGTGCTTAGTAAGTATTTGCTGAAGAAACGCAAGTAGAACAATCTAACACTGGGCAAAACTGACGAGTTTTGAAACTAGTCTAATTTGAATAAATGTGACCTAACTGGTGAATTTTTTTGTAATTTCAAAAATTCATATTGCACATCCAAAGCTATAATCCAAACAACTGTATAAAATTACGCCCAGCTTTGAGAAAGAGGACAAGTCAATGTGAAGCCCAGGAAAAAAGAGCCAAAAGTTAAAAATTTACCTGGGGGAATCTTTCATTAGGTCCATGGTATAACTAGGCTGGGCTGGTTGGCAGGTATTATCTTATAATGGAGACTATACATATTACAAGTAGTCATGAAGATCCTTAAATTAACTAATTCTAACTATATATTCACCTGAAAATTTGCCCATTATGCTTTGACTCCCTATTTGGGTTTACCTATAGTCAAAGAACATGCTGACCACTAATATGACTTTTCTATTCTATTTACTAGATGACCATATTTCTTAAAATAAATTAATATACTGGTATTGCAGCCTCTTAGGATACTAACATGCAATAGTGGATAAGAAACCAATCAAATCTGTTATTGCATTCATAAAATTCAGTTGTAAGACATGCAAAGCTAGGGACCAGACCCAAGAAAATGCAAACAATGTATTACTGTGTGAAATCATATCTATGGAGACAGGTTGTCTTCTGAGATATCTCCCACTGCAGAAAATAAAGAACTGAAAGTAAACATAAATACAACTTCATGATTCAATTATCTATTTAAATTTTTAAAAAATTGAGAATACCTTCGGAAAGTTCACTAGTTCTGGATATCTGTTCCAGCTCCCAGCCAAGATGTAATGATTCATCCATACTTTGTTTCTGTGCCATTTCCAAAGTCATATTTTCTTCCATTAATTCTTCAATCTTTTTTCTATCCATATCTCGTTCCTTTTTTATTGGCAAGGATTAGGGAGAGAAAAAAGGCTAAGAAACAGTACAATTTCAAGCAAAAACTTTATTACTCAACTTTTATTTATCAGAAACTTAGTCATAATCATGAGTTCCTTAAATTGTTCAGTTTTGAAGGCACTTACAATTATCACTGGCAATTATACTGATTAAGTGTCTGACATCCTTTTAAGCTGATCTTTGGGGACACAATGAAAATTCTTCTTCATAGTCAACATACTGTTTTGGTGATCTAACAAAAGAATTATGAACCAACGCTAAATTTTAGCAAACAGATTTCTGTATTTTTAAAGACATGTTTACACAATAGCTTATTTATTGTGGTATTGAAAGGTTGAAGACAAAATTAGTAAGTAACATGCTTCTGTAACAAAAGCAGAAATTTCTACTACTTTTATATTTATATAAAGTTGGAGGCATCTAACTTATTTAGCTCTCTCTTCTCTGTTAAAGCCTCAAGGACACTAGCCATCCTTGCCAATACAAGGAAATCAGTTGAATCTTGAAAAGTTTTCCTTAGAGGCCATGTAACTGATCTATCTCTTAAAACTTACCATTTCCATATCATGAAGTTTAGCTTTTAGTTGTAAGTTCTCTTTTTCTAATTCATGTAATTTATCAGAACGAGCACGAGTTCCTTCTAGTTGGTCTTCCAACATGGTTTTTGTTTCTAATAAAACTTGATTGTCTTCTTTTAACTCCTATAAACATTTATCACAAATGTGTTAATATCTGTTAATTTTTTAAAGTTATGGAACATAAAGATTATCACAAAACATTAAGCCATCTTTATCAACAGTTCTATGCATGAGTAAACCTACTAATAGAAATACAATTAATGTTTTCTTGGCTTTTTACCCCAGAATGCAAACAAAACACTCAGTACTTAAGATATGTAATACTACTGTAACTTCACATTAAATTGTCGGGGCATATTTAACTTCCTCAGTCACAAAGATAAGGAATTAACTAAGTAGAAGTAGTTTTCCAGATATTTAAGATACAACTCTCCATGGAATCCAGGCTTAATGTATTGACTGAAATAGATTTAAATATTTCTCTGTACTTTGGGCTATAACTTGGAAGTGAAGGGCTTGAGGTTTTTGCAGTAAAATACCAAGACTTGAATCAGAACTCACATAAATCATAAACCAAGGCTCTATTAATAAATATTTTACATAAATATACCTTGAGGAGATCCTTAAAAGTCCCTGCATATGTTTTGCAGATAAAAGAGTTCATAATTCTATCTTGCTAAGTTATATACCTATGGTTTCTAAACTAAAGTCTAGAAAAAGTATAC